TCAGTTAAGCATTTGGCAATTCAGCCGAAAGACCCGCATTTCATTTGCGTCTCAATTCACCTCAACCAGGGCCAGATATTCAAATGCGGATGCATGCAGCTGTGTTCACACACACATATGCTCCTAATATGCATTTGACTACTACTACTACAATTTATTTTTACTGCTACTCTGGTGCCTAGGAGCACCAGTCACGAAACAGAAAACTTCTGAGCTAAGTACAAGTGAAGAGACAAGATCCGATGTGAATTGAAGGGGAATCACAAAGAAACAAAGGCAGTGTCCATCAGCATGACAAGCAGTATCCACAGACCACCAGCAAACTGATTTTTGCTTTCTATCTGGCAACAAGGCAAAGGAGAGCTTGAAGGAGGCTAATGCAGAAATATTGCACAAGGTGAGCTTGAATGAAAGTTGCAGCTGTGTGGGTAGAGAGGAACGATCATGTCTTAGGGGTGGTACAAAGAACCTGCAAGACAAACAGGTGATAGGTGAGAACCTAAAGAGAGGTCCAAGTTGAAGATGATGCATGTGAGGCTGGAGTAACAGCCTTGACTGAATGGTCCTGCTGAGTAGATCTATATATGCAAGTTAGACATGTGCAAATGAACATGCTCAGTGCCCCTAAGCTTGACTGAACCCATGATGCAGTTGGCATGACATATCTGATGACCAACCTCAACCAACTGATGGCCAACCTTGACCAGGCCGTATATCTGACGGCAACAGCATATATCTGATTGCCAACTGTGACCAGCTCGGGATGTGCGGACATGAATAGCACTAAAAGCCCAAACTCCTTTGGTCTGAGCTACAACTTTCCAGCCTTGGCTCCAACAGCCTTAGGTCCCCAGAACAAGGAGCAATTACCATACTGTACTTCCTAGTCAGGGCACAGCAACCCTACTAATTCAGCCAGACTGGGATTGTTACTCTCACTATTCAAAGGCATAAAATACATGATTTTTTATGCACTTAACAGCGTCGGAGCCTGTGGCGGTCTGCAATACGAAGGAATGTTGTTGCAGGCTTCATGGATGAACTAACCCTTCCCCCACAGACATCCTTGCAAAGCACAGTACACTAGGCACAAGCTAGCTCCTGCTGATGAGTTGCCAATTTGTCTCCATGAAGCCAGCCATCACTCTCCGCTAGCCTGAGTGAAAGCAATTAAAGACTTTTACTTAAAATATTCCCTTCTGCAGAGTTAAAAAACCCCAGCAGTGAGCAGTGAACAGCTTCGGAGAGGAAGGTCAGCAGCTAGCGAGCCTGGATTAGCATAGGACAATGCAGCATAGGCTGATTAAATGAATTGTTCATCAGGAGCAGAGTTTAAGATTACAGAAGGAGGATGAAAATTATCAGCATATGACTGGAACCAAGTAAGCATTTTATTGAAGTAAGAATATGTCCAGGACCCTGCCCCACAACCTGCCTGCCTCTCCCTACCTATATGCAGGATTTTGCATTTAGGGATTCTGCTTCAGAGTCCCTTTGCTTTCTTGTCAAAGAGAAAGACACCAAGCACTAGCACACCTTTAATTAGCTGCAGTCCGATCACATTGTAGGCTCTGATTCAGCAAGATGTTTAAAGCTGGCACGTGCATGGGCATGTGAGGAGATGTCGCATGTTCAAGGTGAGGCCTGGGCTTAGGTGAATCCCAGCCTTACTGGTGACAACAGACCGACATAAATCACATCTCAGCCTCTGCAACATCTGTCTGCGCGCAGGGCATCAGCTGGATCCTCCCTTAACGAAACAGCTGCTGATTATCCAAATCAGTTTTCCAACCAAGAGAGATACAACTGTGAACAGTCTGATACATCATTAGCATTTTCCTTCAACTTTTACTCCCCATGTTCCCTTTGGAAAGAAACCTTATCTGCATCCTTCTTCCTACCAGCTGTCCAAACATGTTTCCAAGCAAAGGGGCATAGGGATATCTTGGCAAGCCGTGTCACAAATTTGAAACGTTTTTCCTTCTGATCAGAACAAAAAGCAAACCAGGGAAAGATTTCGGATGAAAGCAAATTAAACCAAAAAACTGTCTGGGGTCAAACCTTCTCTTTCTAGAAAATCAAAGCACTTTGTTTGACTTTTGACATCTCGTCTGATCTCCTGGCACAGCGGAGGCTGGGCAGCTTCACTCAGTGACTCCTGAGAGGGTGAGACACATTCTCCCACACTACCTAAGCAAAGGTCATTGAGTTTAATAACTTCAGGATGTACCAGAGCATATCTTTCAGAAAGACTCCACGTGACGGAGAATTTACTGCTTCCCTCTGTGAGCCGGTTGCAATGGTTAATTGCCATCGTTGTTAAAAAGGCAGCCTGATTTCCAATCTGAATTGCTATGCCTTTGTCTTCAAGATGAAAGGCCCACCTCCCTGTGAAGGAGCTTGTAGGCCAGACTCAGGTCACTCCTCTATCCCACTTAATAGGAACGGTAGCTCTTAGACTAGAAGCCAGCATGGTCTCCTCAGGTCTCTTGCAGACCTTGAAGCACTCCTGGAACTCCTCTCTGATCTTGTTCCAATTTCTCATCAAAACTGGACCCCATCTCCTTGCTCAACAGGAAATTTCTCTGATTTTAGGCCTCTGAGAAAGCATGAAGGCAGGAAACAGGCAGGTGCACAGTTATACGAGAGTCCGATAAGAGCCTCAGCAAGGACAGAAGCAATGAGGACTCATGGTAGAGGTGATATATTTTATTACACAAACTAGATTTTTGCAAAAAAAAAAAAAAATTATTTAATTGAAAAAATCTAATAAAAGATATCACCTCTAACTCAAGTCCTGATTGCTTTTGCTTCTAGACCAACCTGGCTGCAACCTGGATACTCGGCAAGGACAGTACATTTTAGATGCAGCTCCTCATCTCCTGCACGGGACTAAAGGGCTAGCAGGAGATAAATGATTTGTTGCGCCTCGTGTACCATAGCAGGTCATGAGTGACTGGAGACATTTTAGGGCCAAAATCCTGGCCCCCACTGTAAAGGCAAAACCCCAATGCCTTCCCTTTGGGCATGATTTGTGTTTGCTTGCCTGTACAGACCCTGCAACATCCATTGCAATGCCTCCTGCTCCTTCCCTGGTTAACAGCTTGTGTCCAAGCCTTGCAGGTGCCCGGCCTTTTAGCTTTCTTTGCAGGGGCTTTGTGAACCCCTTCCTTTCTTTGCTGGGGGAGGAGGGCAGGCTACATCCAACCCACCACAGCAGGTTCCCTCTCAAGAAGGTGCCCCCTGACATCCAGTTTTGCCACTGGTATCCCATACTGAACAGTCACCGGTGTCAACTCCTCTTAAAACGATGCTGAGAAATGGGACAGCCCTGTGTTAAGATCTTAATCCTGTAAGAGACTGGGCTGGAAACCAGGCTGCGTCTCATCAAGCGTTGAGCTGAGGAATGGGTCGTCCACTGCAGCAGCAGACCGTGGTCCTTCTGCTCTCATTGCAGCATCTGCCTGGATTAAAGTGATAACTGACTTAAGCATCTTGCAGCCTTTCACTGGATGTGTCCAAGGGGCAAGCAACATGCTGGACCTTCAGAAGAAAACAGCCTGGCAGAGACTTTAAGGGATGCTCTGTGCAAGCCATCAGCCTTGCTGTGCACCGCCGAGCTAAGCAAGCAAAACGTCACTCACTTTTTCCAAGAGGTCCAGAGTGCTCGTCCACACGGTGATCTTTCCTGCAAACTTGAGATATGAAACGGTGGTGCAGCACTGGACATCTTCAGAGCCTTTTAAAGCAGTAGTATATCTTAATCCCTGTTGCCTGGCTCTCTAAGGGCATATCTCTGCTGCTACGTAGGATCAAATCCTGAGGGTCATTTTTTACTGCTCTATCACATGAGACCTCCCCTCCAGCCATCGCCTCATTCTTGCAAGGAATCTCTCCACTACTTATCTCTCCTTCTGTGCTCAGCTATGGCAGGAAGTTGGACAAGAAGTTGGATACAGATAACTGGAAAAATCAAGTGTTGGTGACCGAGGCCACAGAGACGGAGGGTAGAGGAAAGTCGTGTTGTCAAAAAATAATGCGGTTAAGAGCACATTTTATACACCTGGCACATGGCTCCACTTCTGAACTGACCAAGGGGCAACTTCCTCCCAAGCATTTCACAGAAGCATGTTTCTATCTTTATAAGCCTGCTCATTTATTTTAAACCTGCCAATGAATGTATGTATGCAGGTTTCCCTACTGCCTATAGAAGAGAAGACCAAAACGAGCCAGGCCATTTTGGAGGCCAAGCAAACTCACCAGGGTACATCCAAATTTGCATCCATCCCATTAACGTCCTTTATTAAACAGCATATGGGGCGGCCTGGGGAACCCATCAAGCATCATCCTCAGATCAAGGCTTATCGTCATTTGGTCACGTTCCTTTAGGCCATGCTTTTACCATTTCCTTGCTTAACCCAGCTTGTCATTTCAAAATGTCTTACGTGCTAATCTACCGCTTTGATATTTGCCCTAAACCATCCTTCCTGATGATCTCTCTACATTGGCATGGAAATCTCTGGAGCTTTTCCTGTTTCCCCAGGCTGTGAACGTGGCCCATAGCCTTCAAGACTATTTTTACCTGCTGAAACTTTGGATAACGGGACACTACGATTCCTCTCCCTCACCTCCCTTTGAGCCCTTTTGGCATGAAGAAAAAGGAGAAACAGCAATCAGTCATTCAGGAAAACAAATGCCAACATAAAGATTAATCTTTTATCATTCAATGTATTTTCCCTCGTGTACATGTTTTGCCTCTATAACAGGTAATGGACTATGATGGGAAATGGAGAAATAAGATACCGGCACACACTATAGATCATTCATTCCCTTTGATGGCAATCAGAAAGAAAAGAAACCTTATACAGGAAAGTGCTTGCAAAAACAATAAAACAACCCCCCCCACAAAACAAAACGTTTAGAAAAATAATGGCATTGTACTATATATATATATATATATATATATATATAATATTTACTTCATGAGAAATGTCTAATGTCTCAGTGGCCCTCAACATTTTGTTCTCATTTATTTAAATCAATCAATGATGCCTAAGTTTAGTATCTAAATGACTCCTTTATGTTTTATTTAATATATTTTTAGGTTTCTCTTGCACTGTTGATAACCATTATGAAACTACATTGTAAAAAGGAATGCGTACAGGACACAATATTATTATTTTTTTTTTTTTATAAATACTCATTCACTTCATTACAGAAAATAGTATCAGCCTGTACTGTCTAAGCACCACTGTTTCTCCCCTAAAGTTCATAGTGCAATTTTCCCTTTTTCCATACAGAACAGATGCTCTAATGCTGAGCAGTAATCACAAAATTACTATTTCATAATTACTCTTTTTCTTTCTTTTGTTTTTTGTTTTTCTCTTATTACATGAATTCCAAAATGGTATTTTTGGCATTTGCTCAAAAATGTTGGGTCATTTATTACTGTTACACACCAACCTACAGTGCAGGTGAAAAACGAGTCTGCTTGTAATATAATCACATCCAAGTATTTGGTGAGAAAATAGTCGTGCATTTGGGAAACCTACATCTTTCCATTTGGATCCAGACATTAACTGGAGTTCCTAAGCGACATTCCTTAACAATACAGAGGGTCTAATCTTCAAGTGGTCTAAATTAGCACAGCATATTTGCCGATGGATGTTACCTGAGAGTCCTGCTGCTAAACTGCACAGCGTAGGGTTAGGTGGCTGGACACAGGCACCGGGAACAAGTCATCAAATACATGGATGACAAAGCAGTGGGCACACTCACTGCCATTTAGGGATCATATAGGTTGATTTAAACACCTGCCTTCATTCACAATGGGCAAAGAGTCATGGTAGATAAATAGGGCCCTGTGTATTCAGAGGTCGGGCTCAATAAGCCTGTGCACCCACCAATGTAGATATTTATCCAAATGGGTTAACAAATGTCTTTGGTCTCCTAAACTGCAGGAAATTTCATGGTAACAGGATCCCTCCTACGCTGTTCTGGGAACTTCCTGCTTCTGATCAGTCCAAACTCATAATGAGGATGGGCAATATGTTCCCATTTGCAATGAGATTGCGAAGAAAGTGCTAAGGGACACAGTCATCTCCTACAAAAATTGCATGGCCGCATTATTACCACACAGTAGACCACGAAGTTCAGGAATGATGCTTGGTATAATCCAGCAAAGACCAGGTCTGCACAGCTTTCTTGGCCCCGTCTGACTTGAACAGATGTTTTTTTTTCTGGAATAAAGACTGCAGGACCAGCTGTGCATAGGACGGGAGACACCCAAAGAGCGTGGCGGCTTTTTGGGTGATGCAAAGCCACGCGCCAATACACACGGGCCAGCCTGTGCAGGAGGGGAAAGATCTCTGTGGGTACAAAATGATCTTATTTATACAACTGGCAAGTCCCTGATGAAGCCTATCAGACCCAGTTGGCAGTACTTGTAGGCACAGAAATCCACTGAAACATTGCAGAGTCTGCCGACACAGACCTAGCACAGGCTGGGGCTGCAACTTAGCTTTACAGTACCCAGGCTGATCCTCCAACATTTCCACTCCCAACGGGATCTTCGGAGGCTATGCCGAGTGATCCCGCATGCTAGCAGCAGCATAATACGAGTAGGTGTTTTTGGCTTCCCCTTAGGACTTTGTGGCAGATTTTGTAGTACATTGCTATGCCTTTCAGCACACAGACCATGGGAACATATGGCCCAATCAACCTTTCTTGGAGGAATTAAGCACCCACACGTCCAGATGGAACCAGGAAGTGCAGCGGCACATTCAATTAGAAAATATTATTTGGGGAAAAAAAATAATCAAGGTTTTATGAGCCTTACAAATACTGGGGTTCAAGTTCTGAACGCGTTCGCAGGCTGAATACTTAATTTGCGTGACTTGGCTCATCTAGCCGTTTCCCCTCTTCGCTCCCTTTTCTTGCTCGTCATGGCAATGGATCTGAATACCTAGAACTACACAGTATTAATAAATATCTCGTATTAGCACCAAACCAGCAATCATTATCACTGGCCACAGAGGTCACGTGGAATTGAAAATACACCTAAAAGACAATAACTCATACTGCAATGAGCACCGTATTGATTTTACATGTGTCCCGTTAGTGCTGTCTGCTTGATCATTTAAAAAAAAAGAGAAATCCTACCTGCTCTATTTCCCTTCCACAAAGGTTGTATCGAAATGCCAAAAATACCCCTATGCCAATTTGGTAGCACCTTAAAAGGCCAAAGCAGCCTGTAACAAGAAGAAAAATGACTGACTGAAAGTAAACAATTGAGTACAGTGACAATAAAGTATCACTTTTGTCATAACGCTACATATAATGTAGAGTACGTAAAATGCAGTGGTTTGACTGCAGGGTTTAATAAAAAAAACAGTAAAAGCAGCCTTAATATAAACATTTTACGTACAAAAATATTAAATCGAAATAAATAATTCCAAACATAAATATTATACTGTACATTAAGAATATACAAGCTATATACACACGTACAAACAAGTACAAAAGTAGAAGGCAGAGGTATTGCATCGCTATCCTTCATCCAGCTCATCTTGGCTTCCTGCTTGCACATCCTGCAAGAGAGACAGCGAGTAGCACGTTTTAGTGAGATCGGCCTCCTTGCTTCTGAGGTCTCGTACTCCTGCATTGACTGCTGGGTCCAGAACAGCATGAAGGAGCACCAGTGACTCGAAAAGCAAGTTTCCAGCCAAAAAAACAATTCCACCAAATGACCTCTGGCATTTTCTTTAAGGGTAGGGCCAAAAAGCAGTTGCTTCCTTCTGTTGGTACATGCCAGCTCCGTGCTGCAGAGTCGCGTGGACGTGTATGCCTCTTTGCTAAGCAATTTGGAAAGTATTACCTAGCACTCAGGTTTTATTATCATCGGAGATTAAATGCTGGGGAGCAGTTCAAAAGCGCTTACAGGCTTTGGAAGCTAAAAGCCTCTTTTCTAAGCGCTTGCTGGGCCTGAGCAAGCACTTTGAATGTGATGCAGCATGACCTAAGGGGATGTCTGCGTCTGCCCCGTGCTCCTGGAAGCATTGCTTTGTAGCCACCGTGAAGCAGCTCTGAGTGTGGGCTTAAGACCGCTCACAAGCCCTCTGTCTCAGGCATGCTTGGTGGCAGTCTAGCTAGGCCAACAGGCTCCTAACCCCCAGGTATTTAGGCACTTAAAGGGCTTAGAGCATCCTTAACTATAGGACAGCAGGCAGTTTTGCAAACGCTGCCGTGCTGTGTGTCGTTAGCAATCAATTCCTGGCAAGATTTACCTTCGCGCGGGAACCAGGAGAACCCATCTGGCTATAGCACTTGGACCTCGAGGCCAGTTCCAGATGAAGGTGTGCACTTCCCACAGTAACCACCGCATTTCCCTAGGACTTTGGTACCATCCTGTGGACAGAATCAGAAATGAGGTCTTAAAACAGTGTTAGGCAACAGGAGCTAACCACAGCCACCCCTGGAGGCCCAGCTCTGACGGCGTTTTAATAGGGTCACTGAAGCATCTATTGGAAGAAATGTATTTTTAAATTTTAAATCCTGTAGCAGCAGAAGGGGGAAAAAAATCCTTCCTGGTCCTATGTGGCAACTGCCAAAGCCCAGAAGCATGGGAAATCCTTACAGCAGAGCACAGGCATCGCTACTCCTAGACCAGCCCTGATCGATGGCTGTCCAACCTGCTCTTGAACACCTCCAGCGATGGAGAGTCCACAGCTGTCCTAGGCATCTATTGCACTGCCTCACGGCTCTAATAGTGAAGAAGTTTTTCTTGCTATTCAGTCCAAACCTACTTTGCTGCAGCTCCAAGCCACTGGTCCACGCCTACTCTCTATAGCTCTCTGGTTGTCTCTCTCCCCCTGGCCTGACCCAAAGCAATGGCACCTTGCACCAAGGGTGGGGAAAGATGTTTGCCAACTTTGGCTTGGATGGGCAAAGCATCATGTGGCGCTCAGCTCCCTGCGAGACAGAAAGCGATGCCCTGGGAATATGGAAGGAGCGAGGTTGGAGCACTGTCCCTCCCATATCTGCCTTCCTCTGGTGTCTTTTGGATGCTGTGAGTCATTGAAATGTGGTGGGAAGTATGTGGAGATGGCAGAGAATATAGAAGAGCCCTGGGGACAAAGTCTGACTTCATTGTAAACTGGTGTGAGCTGAACTCCATGAAGCTACACCCGAGCAAACTGAATCCAGCCTGGTTTTACTCTAGTTCTGCAAAGAGCCACGCTCCTCTCACTCGTCCCATACGCAGAAGAACCTGCCGCCCTGGCTCAGCAGCAAACAGGACTGAAGGGCAGGGCTGCCCAGAGCATTTATTTTTAAATGACAGGCCACCAGCTCCCTTGCGCACCTGGCTCCATCCTCTGCTATTCTACTCCTGCAGCCATGGCACCCCCCCAAGCTGTGCCTGGCAGGTGGCAGAGGGCAAGCCAGGTAACATGGTCTGAAATGGGGCATCTGTTTTAGCCAACATCGTGTCCTCCTGCCTCTTGGCGCAGCTTCTTTCTGCAGGGAACTGCAGAGGTTTCCTCCTGCTGAGCCCTGCCTTCCTCTCGTGGCAGCTGACCCTGCTCCGTAAGCGCTTGCTCGTTAAACAGGGCAGCACCCAAGACCCACCTCCCACCCTGACCGCCCATTTCTCCACCAGGCAGAAAAACCCTCCATCAAGGCCTCACCCAGTAGCTACTTCTCTGAGCCAAGGGACGGCTAGGAGGAAAAAACAAACCAAAGCACAACCTGTGCAGCCAGAAAGGAACAGAAGGCTGCTTTTTGCTTAATGCCCATGGTAACACGCCTACGACATTTATGTCTGGCACATCCTGCACCCGGAAATAATACCTCCCGAGTCACTGCAAGAGCCTAGCATGGATGCTCGAGATCCCCAAACCTCTGCATGAGGCATGGTGTGAAAGAGGGATACAGCCTTGGACTGGTCCCACTGCCTTCTGCTGAGATGGACCAGGCCCAAGGCTGAGCCCTGGCCACAGGATGAGAGTCCCTCTGCAGCAGCACGGTGATGAGACTGACTTTTCTACACGGACAAGCAAGGTCAGGGCACCTGCAAGAAGCAGAGGCCAGGAAACACGTGCAACAAAACTAAGAATCAGCCGACCTTCCCATGTATTTGGTGTATTCCTGTGTATTCATTAACCTTCACTCACTCAAGGCAGGTCTGTAGTGACTTCAGCTTGGGTATGGACATAGCAGAGCTGCTTTAAGCTTGCCAGCTCAGAGACTCAGCTCAGCGTAGGCTGCAAATTCACCAGCAAAGTTGGGTAAATGCTCAGGCTGAGCCACCTGCTGCTGCCAGCTGGGCTGGTGCTGGTACCCAAGCTCACAAGTGGATCCACGAGAAAGGACAGACCTCTGCAGAGCCAACGCTGCAACTCGAGAGGAGCCAGCCCCACAGGCATCACAGTAAATTCCCTCATCTTTGTTCTTGCCATCCTCACCTACAGCTTCTGACTTCACCGGCTCTCTCCTTTTCTGCCCCCTTTCCTTCCCATTGCATGTCTTGGCAGGAGGGAGCAGCCGGTGCTCTCCATCACAAGACTCTGCAGTCACCGCTTGAAGCGATCTGGTGCATCCCAGTGGGAAGGGGGCCCCTAACCTTCATGGGAAGGCTTGCTTGGTGCACTGAAGACAAATGTGAAGACCAAATCAGGCAGCAATGCGCTCCTGACCCCCCATTTCTCCTGGTTACTCCCCCTACCTTGACAGCTCTTCCACCTAAAAGCAGTCAAGCTGTTTCGGGCAAAGAGTCTCTTCCATCTTATACCTACAACACCCGGCAAAAAGGGGGCCTGATCCCTGACCGCGGTTTTGAGAGGCTGCTGCAGTATGAATAATAATAGCTGTGCCCCAATACTTCTCATTAGTCTTGGTCGTTAGCCTGCTCCTGTCATGCAATTAGAAGTTACAGATAGGAGAGAGCAGCAGGTCAATTTTTGCAGCCCTTCTCCCAGCAAGAACTTTTGCCTGAGGCCTTGACGGAGAGCGCGGCCCCAGGTCCACGCCGCTGGTGGTGCAGGCTCCCTGCCAGGGGACTCAGACAACTAATTAAAGACATGTCTGCGCCCGGGCGCTCAGCATTCAGGGCTAGACAGACTCACTAATTAACCGCCGTAATTCAGAGCAAGTTACATTTACAGCCGTCGCCCCACACCTGACAACAACACACACGCACAGTTCGGGGCTCTGTTTTATTTCCTACGACGTCTCCTCGATTCATGCTACGTGCTCATGAGAGCGATGCTATGAAAGCAATGCAGCCTGTGCCCGCTGGAGCCCCAACATCAGTGATACGGGGATATCTAGAGTTCAGGATTAAGAGAGTTGTTTTCTTACTGGAGATCTCTGAATTTCTGACACCGCATAGTTTCCCTGCGAGAGCCATTTTGCCGTTTCCATCACCGAAAGGCCAGTTCCGTAAAGGTCGATGCTAAAGTGACCCTAAAAAGAAAAACACAGAAACAAGTTGATTATCCCCTCAGCTGCTGCTTCTGGACCCGCTCGATCACAACGTGCTTGGAGAGGAACGCCCAAAAAATGCTGAACGTCCCAAGAGTTATAAGTGTCCCGCTTTGCACGGCTGTGAGCTTCCCGCCCTACCCGTGTGCTAGCGTGTCGTTCTTCTAACAAGACCTCTCTGGCCGTGTTTTCAATTCTTCCAGCATTGAGCACGGCCAGGAAGATAGATGCCAAGGGAAGGGGCTGCTTTCTCCCCGCTGGCCAGCTGAGGGCACGCTTGGCTTTTCCATCGCGTGCCGCAGAACCTGCCATGCTGCATCAGCCGGTGGAAAATGTAATGCAACTAAATCAGCTCCGTCAAACTTTGCAGCTCTCTTGCCGCTCCTCATCGGCAGAGAGCAGCCTTGTCCTTGTTTTGTGCTGTCCTTTATTTTGTGCTCCTGAAGTAAAACCCAAAGTGTTTTGTTTGCTCCTTAAATCTGTCCTGAATCAATGTTCCTTTTTTTTTTTTAACCCAAGCCAAGGAAAAGAAACACGGTCCGGGGGCATGGCTAGGTTCGCTCTCATTTACTTGCACATGCAAACACCCACTTGTTTCTGTACTTAGAAATACCCCTTTTCAATTTACAATACCTGACCTACCCTGTCCAAAATGGCTGCTAGGCTGTGAAAAAGCAGACGGCTCTGAGCTTTGCTCGCTGCATTTGCTACTTTGGCAACGTCCACTTGCAGTTCAGCATCAAATCTCCACCTCGGTGGCAATCAGGACTCCTGAACATGCCTGAGGTAGCAGCTCAGTCTCTGAGCCTTTGCGCTATAAAGAAAAGCGCCGGCTCCAAAGTTGGAAGGCAAGGAGATGAAGAGAATTCTCCATTCTCTTGACTCCCTATTTATCCTACTTTACCCTTTTAGCGCACGGGCTGTGGGTTCATCCCATCCGAGCAGCTCAGTTGCCACCCTGACTCCAGGGCTCGGTGGTGTCAGAAGCTGATTGTATTGGGGAGATCATGAAACGTGGAAGGCTGTATGGCAGGGAAGTGGAGACCCCTGGCATACAGCTGCTCCTGCCAGAGCATTTCCAAGTGTGGGTGCATGCTGGGCACAAGTGAACTTCTGCAACTCTCCTGCTCCCAGCCTGTCCTTCCTTCCTTCCCCTCAACTGCCTACACACCTTCACACTTGACCTTGGCCCTCCTTTTCCCCTGCCTCAACTTGGACTCGCCATCATCTCCATTCCTACTCCCCCATGGTGCACGATCAAAAGTTCAATCAACTCTTCTTGCAGCCCCCACACCCTCCTGGCCGTACCTACAGGACCTCCTGGCCTCCGTCCGTCTCGGACGAACTTCCTCTTATGCGAACACGCGTGCTACTCGACGAGCGCTCGCTCTCTGCCGTCCTTCTCTTCATCTTTGCCAGCACTGTCTACAACTTGACCTCCAAGTTGGGCATTTCTCTTAATCCCTCCCAGCTCTGAACTTTTCTCAGCCTGGCATTTTGGATCGCCTCCTTTCAGACCCTGCTGGCTGTCTTGTAATACCCCACCTCTAAGGTTGTTTTCAGAACTGCAAGTACATTATGTACAGACCACGGCAAGTTGCAGACCGCCGAGGTGAGAATGTGCTGGAGTTTGGCCAGCGCGCCCGGGAATAATTAATACAAAGGCCGGGACATAACGAACGGATCCGATTCGTGCGAAATGTTGCTGTCAAATACCTGCGGGCACTTGGCTGCGCTGTAGCAGTCCCCAGCAGTGGCATAAGGAACAGGTCGTCCATCAAGCGTCCGTGAAAACTGTAAATCAGTTGCTGTGAAAAATATTTGGTGAACAGCGCAGAGAGAGATGGGGAGAGAGAAACATTTAAACATACTATTTGCTAGCGAGTAAATCTCCTACAGTTCCTTCTGCACATTAATTTCCAGTGTTAAGATCTTTTCTGCTGGGTTTCAGTACTGAAACCCTGATTCAGCATGTATGTAAACTTCCAGCACGTAACATGCACTGAACTGAATAGGGCTGTTCACATGCTGAAATGTATGAATGTGTTGGAATACCTTGGGGAATTCAGCCTGTCAGATTATACAGAAACAATAACCATGTCAACTGTTTCCATTTGCACTACATTTCCGTATCAGAAAAATGTTAATTTGAACTAACCAATAATAAAAAAGGACACCTGAAGGTCTAAAACATATATATTCCCTTCAGCCAAGAAGGGGAGTTTTGCATTAGAAGAAAACTTGTGTTGCTAGGAAGGATTAAAATGATTATTTTGATAGATTAGATGACACAGGGCAGGATCAATGAAAATTTCCAGTGGACTGACTTCAACTAACGTCCATTTATTTAGGCTGGGATGTGCAAAAGGATTTCATAGACTTTAGGGCTGGAAGGGATTTAGGCTACTTTGAATTTTTACAGGAATGTGGTGCCTAATTCCCATAGGACGGTTCCTTTGAAAAATCCTAGCATGATGTCTTTCCTTTTTTACAGACCAATAACTCAGGCAGCTTGAATGCGACTGGGATATCTCCCAATCTGAAAGCGAGGGGATGAACTGCTGTAGTATGAGATGTATTTAATCCGTGGTGTTTTAAAAAGTTTCAGCTATGGTATTTACTCTCTAGAGCCATTTCCACACCCCGATAACAACACCGCGCCGTATTTTAAACACATTTCTGAGAACATCGCACAAATCCGGATGGCCAAATCCCTGCTTGCAGGGCACATCTGCGGCTTTCCTTGGAGACCACCTCCGACAGGCTCCCTGATCCCACTACCATCATCAGGAGCGACAGGCACGTGACTCCTACTGCGGCACTAAAGTCCCATTCTGCTCTAACCGGGCACCAGCAAAACTCCCATCTTCTCAGGAGTCAGACTGGCTCCACAGTCTTGGCTCATTGCTCACTGATACCTAAGGAAAGACCTCAGCAGGCAGCAAGCAAGGCCCCAAAAGCGCTTCTCAGGAGTCAGACTTCAGCCCACACTGTACTAACAAAAGCTACATCCGAGTGCACCGTGCAGAGAACAGCCCCCCGCACATTATCCTGCACGCGGCACTTGTGGGTGCATGGCTGCGTGTGCCCGGGTCCTTCACGGTGATAGCTTTAAAATAAGAAACAAACAGACCAGGAAACAAAAGTAGGTGGGATTCAGAGATCTTTCCAAAGAGCAAAGTCGGGATGCTAGAGAGAAACGATTTAAACTTCCTGAAAAGAGCACGCTCAACTGCTCTTCTGATCCCTAAACGTGAATTGCCAGGGTTGACTGGGTTTGCAACGAAAGGAGGTCTCTAGCAGGACAGGTCAAGAACGGAGAGCAGCGAATGCCCTCTCTTGCTCTGAACCGAGGTGTAGCTGTGTGTAAAACAGGCGCGTGTGGATAGTGAGGCCCTGTTTTTACTCACTTATGATTTGCATAGTGTTCAGGTCCAGCCTTACTTTGCTGAAGGTGGAAAACCCAGCTGCTGTGTAATCTTTCCTGCAGTGGCAGTCTTCCCGTCTGCTCCCGTTGTACGGACACTCTGTCGGATTATGTAATCTGCATCAGGAAAGAGCCCGTTCAGCTCCGGATCGGGAAACAGGCACCGTGAAGTTCACACCCAAGTGATTTCTTACCTGTACCCATACACTTCAGAGAAATTCTCCGCGTCCCCACTCACAAGAGTCACATACTCCTTTGGGTTGTCAGTCTGCATCCCAGAACAATATATCTGAAAGGGAGAGACCATCATTTTGTCAGAAACCTATGCATTTAGAAAACAGAAGGTGGGAATTGCAGTGGTGGAAATAATGAGCATATAGGAGAGACTCCTGCGCCTTCGGGATGTACACGCGCACGATTTTCAATCGGTTGCTGAAATGCACCTTGATTATCTTTCCTTTAACGTTCAGGTAATATTCTCCATCTTCAATGACACCTTTGAGTCTTTTAACATCTTTGCAAGCCCTTGGTAATTCACCTGCAATGAAACAGAAAGGTTTGCAGTCAGGCAGGAATCGGGTAGTTGTATTTCAGGATTTCTTCTGCAACCTCGCAAGCTCTCTGGCCAGCAGTAAACCACAGATCCCAAAACTGCCATGTAGCAAGGAGTCCTGGAAACCTCATGAAACTCATACTTGATTGGACTGGGGGCTTGATGTTGGAAAGCATCGAACGCTGCAGCTCTCAAGGAGGTCGGTGGGTGCTGCAGGTGCTCGGTGCATCCCAGGATCAAGCCATCAGAGCCAGAAGGTGAAGCACAGTGTAGGAGACTTACAGTCATGGATATTGTGGCAGATTCTTCTTTCTTCAGGTTTCAAATCAGCGTGGCACAAGGTGCTCGCCTGGTCGTCGTTTGTTAGGCACTGCACTGACCGATGCATCACTCCAACGCCGCACGTAACAGAGCACTGCAGGAAGAAAGCACAGCGAGTGCGTTGCAGGACTGAGGCTTTCAGGTGCCAAGCAGAGAAAGCCCAGCTGGCTGCTGGGTGAAGATAACTTTGCAAAGGCCCTACTGATTTCATGGTCCTTAACAGGCAGCACTTAAGTGCTTTGCTGGAAGGGGATGGAAATGTTTCATGCAAACCCTGCACTCAAGCAGAGTCCCAGAGCAGCTCGTTCCACTTGCTCAGCCCACTGAATAGACATTTTTCCATACCACATTTCACAGCCAGGATGCCCAAGAGACAAGCATTCATTAGGAAGCTTGATTAGCATCCATGCTAATCCCGCTTTATTCCTGTCAAGTACAGCTTGGGGTCACTAAAAGGCAACGTTATGGTTTCATATGCAAACTGCCGTGCAGCTTAGGGGAAATTTTGGCCTCTTTGGACCTCAAACTCAAAGTCAATCTCTATGGCATCTATGGCACTGCAACCTGCCCTTCATTTTGCACAACGCAAGGTTTCAGTCTGCAAAAGCAATGGCCTCTTTTGGATGCATCGGGTGTTGGGTGGCCAAACTAAGATACCTTTAAAGGTTCAAAGGAGGTGGGAACCCTTCCTTTGAAAACCAAGCCCACACTAAGGTATTTCAGGACAGGCTCCCAAAAACCAGGGCAATCACTTGCTAGTCTTGTTAGAACAATTAGTCTTGGCCCCTGCACAGTAGGACGGCAGAAGGCATTCCTCACAGGTTACAGCAAACCACCCACGGACAAGCTGCGAT